CTCTCTCCCTCTCTCCCTCTCATCTCCCTAACTAGCTCCAGGACTTTAATTGGACACCGTAACGAGCTGCAGTGACTTGGTAACCATGGAAACGATTTCTGCCTGAGGACCCAGAGTAATCTAAGGATTTTCCAAGAGGTCACAAATCTGAAAGTGAAGGATCGTGTCTCCCTCTTTCTCTTTTTCTCGTTCTTTCTTTCTTGGTGTTTGTCTGTGTCATTGTCTCGCTGTTGATTGGTTCGTCTGTTTGTTTGTTTTGTGTTTGTTCGTCTACGTCTGTCTGTTTGTCTTTTTATTTATCTATCTTTTTTTATCTGTAGTTCTGTCGGTTTGTCTTTCTGTTTATCTATATAAATCTATAGTTATCTATCTATCTGCATGTACGTATGTCTTTCTGCATGACTGTTTGTCAATGAGCGTCTGTCTGACTGACTTGACTGCTAACTACCTGCGTGTCTGCCATATCTTGTCGCTCCCAATCCTTCTTGCTATCTTTAACTTTCCTCCATTTCTTCTTTTCATCTTGCTCTTGTTCTTACTCTTCCTTTTCCTCTTCCTCCTCCTCTTCATCTTCCTCTACCTTTTGCTTCTCTTTCTCCTCTCCCTCTTTCTCTTTCTTTTCTTCCTCCACCTTTTCCTTCTCTTTCTCCTCTCCCTCTTTCTCCTTCTCTTCTTCCCCCTCCTTTTCCTTCTCCTTCTCCTCTTCCTCCTACTCTCCTTCCTCCTTTTCTTCTTCCTCCTTCTCCTCTTCCTCCTCTCCATCTCTCCCTCTACCCCTCTTATCTCCTCGTCCTCCACCTCCTCCACTTCCATCCCTAACCACAACCACCACCACTTCCGCTCCTCCTTCTCCTCCACCACCACAACCTCACCTCTTCCACTTCCCTCCCCCCTTACCCCTCCTCCTCTTTACCCCTCCACCTCCCTACCCTCTTCCGCCTCCACCTTCTCCCCCTCCTCCTCCTCCTTCCCTTTCTCCTCCCACCTTCCCCCTCCTCCACCTCCTTCCCCCTCCTCCACCTCCTTCCCCCTCTTCCACCTCCCCACCCCCTCCCCCTCCTTCCCCCCCTCCCCCCTTCCCCTCCCCTTCCCACCTTCCCCCACCCTACTTCCCCTCCCTCCTCCTTCCCCCTCCTTCACTTCCCATCCCCACCCAACCCCACACCCCTTTACCCTACCTCTCCCCCCCTCCCCGAAGACGGTGCGATAAAACATACCCGTGATCGAGTTCCATCCCAAACTTTAGTGCTGAGGTTCGTTGGGAAGTTCGAGGTCGACGAGGTGTTCCTCACGCTACTCTCTTTCAATTTTTATTAACATTAGTTTTGCTGCTTTTGTTGGTGGTGGTTTTGTTATTGTTGTTGTTGGTCTTGTTGTTATTGTTAATATTATTATTTTTGGTGTTATTGTTATTATTGTTATTGTTATTAACATTATTGTTATTGTTTTTAACATTATTATTCTTATTATTATTATTATTATCAGTATTATTATTACTATTATTATTATTATCATCATTATTATCATTATCAGTATTATTATCATTATTATTGTTGTTTTCTTGTTGTTACTATTGTTATTGCTTTTATTATCATTATTTATATCATTATTATTATTATTAATATCATTACTAATATTATTGTTGTTGTTGCTTGTTGTTGTTGTTGTTTTCCTCATTATCACTCACTCATTCTAATTCTATCCATATAAGTAGCAGGAGCAGTATCATTATAATTGGCATTTTTTTTTTTTTTTTACGATAATTGTTATAATCGTCTTCACTATTTTTATCGTCCGTATAATTCTTCATAATTTTTTTAATGATCATTACTATCAGTATTATTATCATTATCACCATCATCGTCAATATCTATACCATCATCATTTAAAGCACCATTGTGCTATTATGGAAAATAATATTGAATTCTATGTGTGTTATTAAAAAACATTGCAATTTATGTATATTGTTTAGGAAACATTAATTCTCGAAAACCATATAATTTTGTGATACTGAGATGCAAGGGAAAATTAGTAGAATTTAAGTTCTGAGTCCTGATACATTGTTTAGATTTTGCAAGAATTGTGCATTGCGAATTTCTTTTGTCATGTGGAAGCGTTGTTTATAATTTGGAATGACAGAGCACGTGAATGTTCCTCAACATAGAGCTTTTAAATTTGGCTGGAATTTGATTTGTAAATATCAGGTTGGAACATAATTTGAATATATTTTATTACGGAGTGTATAATTGATAAAACTGAAAAGTTTGGTATAGTATGAATCCGTGATTTCGTATAAAAGTAGATGTACTGATGAATTTTGAATGCTAATCTCTGGAGTTCTGAATTCGGTTGTGTTATTCTGCAAAATAATGTTATATCGTGATGGCTGACAGATATGAGACAGGCCGAATTTGAGTGAGATTTGCAGATTAAAACCACCATTCATGACATAAGTGTTTTACTAATTCATTAGAAAATATGGGATTGTAAATGTGTATAGCAAATCTTATTTCATGCAATATGATTGATATTTTATGTTTAAGAAGTGCAATGACGATTATTATTACTGAAAAAAAGCTTTTGTTGCTCTATCATTCAATTGCTTTTTTATGATTTCATTGTCATGGATTTTTTTTTGTTTTGTTGTTGTTTAGTAGTTTGAGTTACTGTTTGCAGGTTGATTAAATTTAAAGTGAATCTGGATCTGAACCAGCTTCAATGGGAATAAATTATTCTACTCGTGAAGTGTTTTGAACCATCCCTGATTGATGAGAGTTGAACGATACAATCACCATTTTTATTATCATCATTCGTCTTAGCATGATTATCGCTATTACTATCATTATTATTATCACTATTATCATCATTAATGTCGTGTTATTATCATTACTATTATTATCATTATTGTTTTATCATTACTATTATTATCATTATTGTTATCATCTTTTATCAATATTTTTCTCATTATTATTATCATTATCATTATTATCATTATAACTCTGTTATAATTTTATTCATTACTGTTATTACTATTAATAATCTCATTATTATTATCATTACTATTGTCATTACCGTTATTATTATCATTGTCATCATTATTATTATTATCATTATTATTATTATTATTGTCGTTGCACTTGTTGTTATTAATATCATCATTATCATCATTATCATCATCATTAATATCATTATTACCATTATCATCATCATAATTATCATTATTGATATTAATATCATTATTATCATAAGTGATATTTTTATCATTATCATCATTATCATTATTGTTATCAATATGATTATTATTATTATTATTATTATTATCATTATTACTATTATTGTTATTGTTATTGTTGTTATTATCGTTATTATCATTATATCATATTACATAAGCATCTTTATTATTATCATTATCATTATTGTTATTAGCATAATTATTATTATAGTTATTATTATTATCATTATTATTATTATTATTATTATCACTATTATCATTATTATCAGTATTATTATTTTGTGTTGTTGTTGTTGTTATTATTGTTATTGTTATTGTTATCATAATTATCATTATTATTATTTTTATTATTATTATCATTATTATTAATATTATTATCATCATCATAATCATCATTGATATCATTATTATCATTATTATCATTTTCATTATTATTATTGTTATTATTATTATTGTTATTATTATTATTATTATTATTATTATTATTATTATCAATATTAATATTATCATCATCTTCATTATCCTTATTGTATTGCCATTATCATTATTATTATCGTCATCATCATTACCATTATTATTTTTTATTATTTTCATTATCATTATTATCATTATCATCATTATTAGTTTTATCATTATTATCATTATCATTATTAGTTTTACCACTATTATTATTATTAGTTTTATCATTATCATTATTAATATTATCATTATGTTATTACTACTATTTCTGTTACTAGTAGTTGTAGTAGTAGTAATAGTAGTGATAAAGCCCCTATTATTACTACCATTATCATATTCACATTACTATTATTGTGACCATTTTTATCATTACTGTTTTGATTCTGCTAATCCTTATATTTCTTTTTTTTTCTTTTTACTTGTGTTCTTTCATATCATTTTTTTCCTGTAGGAATTACACAGTATTATTAATTAAGTTTATATTATTCTTATCGTTATCATCTATATTAGTATTATCATCATTTTCTCTATCATCATTATCATTATCATAACTACTTGTAATAATGATACCACTGCTGATATTACACTAATCATAATCTTTTAATTATTGCATATCATTATCTCTGACAAAAGCAAGAACCATTAACATAATCGTTCTTTTATCATCCTCATTAACGTAATTATGATCCTACAAATACCACTATTGATTATCCCAATAGTGGCGGTTGATTGCTGCATTCATGTCTTATCAGCATTACTATGCTATTAATCTAATCAAACTGCAATACCTCTATATAAAATGGGGAGAATTTTCGTTCAGTCTACAGCTTGATCACAAACACAATATACATCATACACTATAAGCTGAACTCGACTCCGATCTGGCAAAATAGTAAGTAAAATAGAGAGAGAAAGAAAGGGGGTAAATAAAAAAAATACGATTGTCATTCACTCTATAGTTGAAAAAGAATAAAAAGAAGACGAAGCAAAGGAATAATAATAAGAAGAAGAGAGAAGCAAAAAAGAAGTAGAGCAATGAGAAAAGAAGAAAGAAGTAGAAGGATAAGAAAAAGAAGGAAGCAGAAGAAGAGGAAGAGGAAGAAGAAAAAGAAGGGGAGCAGAAGGATAGGAAGAAGAAAGAAGAAGAATGGAAAAAAAGAAGAGCAAAAAAAAAAAAAAAAAAAAAAAAAGCAAAACAATCAATAATAAAAACAAAGCAAAACCAGAACAAGAGTCACTCGTTCACGCCCTTGCCGAGCACGTGGAGGCGAACGCTCACGGGCGCGCACACGGGGACAGCGCCACTCACCGTGAATGAGCGTCGTCAGAAATGCGAGGGTGAGGAGTGGGCGCAGCCAGCGGGGGTCTAGGGCGAGCCAGGGGGCCGACATTTTCACCCTGGAGAGGAAAGAGTCGTTTTTTTAGAAAGGGGGTTTGTTGGCGTGTGTCTTTGGGGTGGGGGGGAGAGGTGGGTTTCTTGGGTGGGTGAAGGTGGAGTGGGTTGGGTGAGGGTGGGTGTTTGAGAGTGGGTGGGTGGGGGGGGGGGGGTGAATGTGTAGTGGGTGGGGTAGAGGGTGGGTGGGTGTTTGAGAGTGAGCAGGTCGTGTGGATTGCATGGGTGTCTTGAAAGTGGGTAAGTGGTCGTGTGGGTTGTGGTTTTGGTGAGTTGGGTGGGCGTTCGGAGACGTGTGAGTGGTCGTGAGGGTCCGGTTGAATGGGCTGGGCTAGGTGAGCGGGTACTTGAGAATGGGAAGGTAATAACGTGGCTTTGGTGGGTGGTCGAGTGAGTAAGGAGTGTAGTAAGAGTTGCATAGGTGTTTGGGAGTCGATGGGGCGGTCGAGTGGGCCGGGTGGGCGTTTAAAGGTGGGTCAGTGTGTGGTCCAGTGGGTTGACTTTGGGGTAATAGTGTCGGTGGGGATATGCATGTATGTATGTATTTAACTATGTATTTGTCATCATGTGTGCATCTGTGTATACAACACGTGTGTGTTACATGCATATTGTATCCACGAAAGGCTTAATACATATGAATACACGTGTATATGACTGCATATATGCATCAAACGTCATAATCCAGTGTCTCTGTTTGTATTTAAGAATCCCACGTAAATTTCCAGATCGCGAGATTTGTGTTCTATATACCATTGTGTTCCGATGTGAGGATATTTGTTTGCGTGCATGTGGAAGCTCGTGCGGTTGCGTGTGGATGGGAGAGCAATGCAAAAAGGGGAGCTTATGAATTTGTACACTGGGTCTTCAAATCCTCGCTTTACATGAGGATTTATAAGTCTGATTTTATAGGTGAGGGTTTATATGTGAGATTAAAAGCTTGGGGTTTTATATTCAAGGGATTATGAAGGATTTATCTTGAAGGATTTATTTCCGAGGCGTTGCAGATTCTTTATGTGTTGTTTATAAGCATGGGGTATCCTATTTCTGTCTCTCTTTTTTTATCTCTCTCTTTCGACCTTTTTATCCTTTGCATGTAGAACCAAGCTTTTTTGTGAGGGAGGTGCATGCAGACGAGTGAGAAACAAAATTCGTATTGGTTGTATAACACTTTAATCTCTTCCTCTCTTTCTCTTTCTCCCCCCCCCCCCTCTCTCTCTCTCTCTCTCTCTCTCTCTCTCTCTCTCTCTCTCTCTCTTCCTCTCCCTCTCACTCTCCCACTCCCACTCCCTCTCTCTTCCTCACCCTCACCCTCTCCCACTCTCTCTCCTTCTTTCAACATCTTTCTATTCCCTTCTTCTTACTCTCATTCACCAACGACCCATCTGTTCCTCTCCCGCACAAAACGTCCCCCGATCAACTATTCACAACATACAATCTATTTCCTTTTCCTTAATTGCCTCCTGCTTACCCTCGTCTTCCCTTCCTTTTACCTTTGTTAAGGATTAAGTGTTGTTTATCGAACAGACCATAAATCAAATAATTCATAGCTACTTAAATCTGACCTTTACCTGACCTTTGTCCGTAGTCAACAAAGCAAAGCGATCAATACTACAACTTTACGTGCGAAGCGAATAACCTGTTGGAAGCGAGGCGTTTCTGACACGCTTTTCCCACACACCTCATCCTTTGCAGATACGAGCCATGAATGAGGTATACACACAACCTCTTATACCTATACACACTGGGGACACACACACATGTGTGTATACGTATGTATGAATATGTAGGTGTATGTGTATGTATATGTATATTTATATGTATGTATAAATATACAAATTCCTGTGCATCAAATATATATCCACATCATATATATTTTCGTTTTCTTTATTGTTTGCATTGTTTTAGCTGTCACTTGCTAGACTTTCGTCGCTCCAATCATTCACATATTTTCTGAGTTGCCTGCATGGTTGTTTAGCTGAATTTCCAAAGGAATGTAAGTATATATGATAAAGGCCTAAACACTCATACTTTCACGCGGGCAAATAGTGATAAAAATGTAGATGTAGGCGTAGATGAATGTACATGATACACTAGAATATAAATCACACATGAACACACACACACACGCACACGTACATACACACACACACACACGCACACGTACATACACACACACACACACACGCACACGTACATACACACACACACACACACACGCGCGCGCGCGTATAAACACATGCCTGTCTGTCTGCCTTTCCCAAAGGATATATTCCGACTCCTTTTACCTTATTTTTCCATCTATCAAAAACACCCACAGCTTTTATTGGCTTATCTGAGTCACTATTGTAAGTCATATAGCAGCATTCGTTAATGAGTTTCCAGGTGGTAATTTTCCCAGGGAGTTTTCACGTTGTTACTGACGATCAACTTTTTAAATGGAATTTGCAGAACTGTTTACAATTTACGTCTGTTTACCTCCTTGTAATTTACATTCTCTAGTCTACTCTTTTAATTGCATCTCATTTTTTCTTGTTCTTTTCTTTCCTCGTTTTCTCCGGCTCTCTTTTCTTATCATCGTTATTACATTTTCATCTTCCTCTTCCCTCTTCTTACTCTCATTCACCAACGACCCATCTGTTCCTCTCCCGCACAAAACGTCCCCCGATCAACTATTCACAACATACAATCTATTTCCTTTTCCTTAATTGCCTCCTGCTTACCCTCGTCTTCCCTTCCTTTTACCTTTGTTAAGGATTAAGTGTTGTTTATCGAACAGACCATAAATCAAATAATTCATAGCTACTTAAATCTGACCTTTACCTGACCTTTGTCCGTAGTCAACAAAGCAAAGCGATCAATACTACAACTTTACGTGCGAAGCGAATAACCTGTTGGAAGCGAGGCGTTTCTGACACGCTTTTCCCACACACCTCATCCTTTGCAGATACGAGCCATGAATGAGGTATACACACAACCTCTTATACCTATACACACTGGGGACACACACACATGTGTGTATACGTATGTATGAATATGTAGGTGTATGTATATATATATATATATATATATATATATATATATATATATATATATATATATATATATATATATATATATATATATATATATATATATATATATATATATATATATATATATATATATATATATATATATATATATATATATATATATATATATATATATATATATATATATATGTATATATATGTATATGCATATGTATATATATATATATATATATATATATATATATATATATATATATATATATATATATATACATATGCATATACATATATACATATATATATATGAATAAATATACAAATTCCTGTGCATCAAATATATATCCACATCATATATATTTTCGTTTTCTTTATTGTTTGCATTGTTTTAGCTGTCACTTGCTAGACTTTCGTCGCTCCAATCATTCACATATTTTCTGAGTTGCCTGCATGGTTGTTTAGCTGAATTTCCAAAGGAATGTAAGTATATATGATAAAGGCCTAAACACTCATACTTTCACGCGGGCAAATAGTGATAAAAATGTAGATGTAGGCGTAGATGAATGTACATGATACACTAGAATATAAATCACACATGAACACACACACACACGCACACGTACATACACACACACACACACTCACACATACACACACACTCACTCACACGCTCACACACACACACACACACGCGCGCGCGCGTATAAACACATGCCTGTCTGTCTGCCTTTCCCAAAGGATATATTCCGACTCCTTTTACCTTATTTTTCCATCTATCAAAAACACCCACAGCTTTTATTGGCTTATCTGAAGTCACTATTGTAAGTCATATAGCAGCATTCGTTAATGAGTTTCCAGGTGGTAATTTTCCCAGGGAGTTTTCACGTTGTTACTGACGATCAACTTTTTAAATGGAATTTGCAGAACTGTTTACAATTTACGTCTGTTTACCTCCTTGTAATTTACATTCTCTAGTCTACTCTTTTAATTGCATCTCATTTTTTCTTGTTCTTTTCTTTCCTCGTTTTCTCCGGCGTCTCTTTTCTTATCATCGTTATTCACATTTTCATCTTCCTCTTCCTCTTCTTTTTTTTTCCACGAGCATTCAGTCATACCCTTTTTTTTATTATAGACTTCCTTTTTTCTATCCTATTTCCTCTTGTCTATACTTAGCCCCAATTTTACCCTAGCACAATGCGTGTCCATTCTGCATCTTCCTCTTTTCCTTTCTCCTCTTCTTCGCCTCAAACACCTCTTCCTTTTTTTTAGTTGCGAGTCTTCATTAGTCTTCTTTGGGCTCTATCCAATGTACCCTTTACAGCATGGAATTACCTCCTGCTGAGCCGCTTTTGGCTCTCTCTCTCTCTCTCTCTCTCTCTCTCTCTTTCTCTCTCTCACGTATGTGTGTGCGAGGTACATTCAGAAATATATAACTCATAAGTAATATATATATATATATATATATATATATATATATATATATATATATATATATATACATATATATACATATATATATATATATATATATATATATATATATATATATATATATATATATATAAATATATATGTATATATACATACATATGTATAAGTATGTATATATATATATATATATATATATATATATATATATATATATATATATATATATATATAACTCATATCATATGCATATATGTATTCATTTATATGTATTTTTGCCCGCAAGAAGCATTCCGCAGCTCTCTTGTTATTACAATATGCAACGCTTGCAGCCATTGTAAATCACAGATTGTGCAAAGCATTACCGTCGACTTGGAGAGATGTGGGTTCCACCCGCGGCTGAAACACAGTATTAATCACGCTAAGCCCCGCCCATGAGCTTAGTTAGATCGATGTTTGGCACCAATTTTCGACTCCGTCACTCCATTCGCCTCCACATTCGCCGCTGTTCCCCCTTCCACACGCCTTGTTTTCCGACACTCAC